GTAGGGACTACAGCACTCGGGTTCGCCTATTAAAGTGATCTGAGATACTCTTATTATTTCAGTATATATTAACATATAATATTCGAAACCGTGTTCTTATTATGCACTGTTTAATCCTCCCCTGTAATTCTCTATAACTATCTACTCCCAGCAAATTTTTAATCGCTGACTTTTTGGGGGAAAGAGTAGACTCTAACAACCATGTCATAAGAGGTGACTGATCAAAGTTTATATATGGGGGTACAAGGAAATGAGCAAGCTAATAGACTTGCAGGTAAGGCTACTGTGAAAGCCGGACAAGCCGTGGACCAGGCTGATATACTGAATGCTTAAAGAGAGTTACGATGTTTGCGTGAACCAACTGAGAACTGTAAATCTGCAATCATGGTCAGACTGCAAGAACAACATGTTAAACGGGTCGTCGCTAAACAAGAACACTACGCGGATAGCCAAAGAATAATAATAAATCAACACAGAACTGGTGTCGTTAGCCGCTACACGCTGCGGAATTTACTGAGGAGAGGATCCGAGCACCTATGGACTGAGTGGTTCGACGTGCAATGACGATATTCTATCGACTAAATAACTAATCAGTTTTGATGACATCGGATGAGTTTGGACAAAAGACGCCAATATCGCACCCTAGCCATAATCTACAAAGCAACGTACGAGACGCCGAGAAGAAGAAGAAGAAAAAAGACTGGAATAAGACATATACCGATCACGTATTTTGCTATATAGTACTCCTACTTTATTCAGTTGGTTTTTCAAAGCCAATATTTATCACACACCTTGTAGGAAAAATCAAAAACAGTCAGTCAGGATTATAAACGGAAAACGAGGAATGTCATAGACGACCTTAACAACGAACACAGTTGTTTGTCTTATTGTTTTATAATGTTGTCGACGGTTTAAAACACTGGATCATAACCATTATGTAACACTGTTTTAATATGTATTTTATCTTGAACAGTAAGTATGCATTTGTGATACGATAAAGTGTAGTTTTAATTAATAATCTTGTCTATTGTGAGATGAGATGATGGAAATTTAGAATGAAATTTTAATTATTATTAATTATTATTTACATTACTAATAAAATATATTGTTACATCATTCAGATGTACATGACACCAGAGTAATAATAATAATATATGTCCATCCGCGTCCGAGGGTTGTGATGTTATTTTAAACACTTCTATAATTTACTTTGACATGTTGATCACCCGTACTCGTACAGATTGCTCTGGTCTGGTCATTGATGTGATAGTATTGTCGCCCTTACCCAAGTAGGACTGCAGGGGGTGCCTTCATTTTAACTCCTCTGAAGGTTGAACAGGGTATCTGGGATCTGCTTTGTTGGTCTGCTATCCTGATTAAGATTTTGAAATTTCAGTTTAGCATGTTTAAACCTTTTAATAACAGCCCAGAGGGAACAAACTGATCGATGGAGTGATATGATAGTCCTCACCTCTGGGTATCAAAATAACTGCCCTTATCACTTAGTAGTACTGGACTTTCGTAAATGCCGGGTTCGATCCTAGCTGCGGGCCATGCACCTTGTGTTGGTTTTAACAGTGGTATCAAGAAAGCTGACCGTCCAAAAAGCAATGGCAAACTACTGGAGGTGAACTTACCTAGAAAAGCCACACAACAGCTAGGGGCTGTTGGGGTTGGTTCTGCAACGTCCTGTAAAGAATACGCAACTAACCAAGTACTGGACAGGGTGTATCCACCAGCATGTGGCGTGAAGCCTAACATAATAGTTATACTCTTAGAAAATGATATATGTAAGTGCCACAGACACACCAGTCAATGTATGGTGGTTTTCTTTATTTTCTGGGACACTGTTACCCATTTTAAGTCAGTTATTGAAAGCCAGCTGTCCCAGTATGGGTTCTGCGGCCCCATTTTGGGAGGAATAAAAATAAACCCACTGCCACCCTAACAGGCATGTCATAAAAGGCAACTAATTAGGGGCTGCTCCTTCAGAGGAGGAGAGAAACCAACAATCTGATTATAAATAAACTAGATCTGTAAAATGGATGTATGCATGCCAAATTCCAGTTCTGGAACAAGACTAAAGTCCAGAAGTGGATGAACAACCAAAACATTTGCTACCATGCTTTCATCGCAGAGGAGCGCCTGGCCAAATGATTAGAAGGCTGATCTCTCACACAGGAAATGTGGGTTCGAATCCTCTGTAAGGTTTCAGATTTTTTCTATTAGGGGCAACAACAAAAAAATCATTATCTGCACAGTCCATAGCTCCCAAACAATGGCTTGTCCACCCTCCACAGTAGCTTTACCTGAAAACCTATCAGCCTGTTCATTTCCTTGCACACATGCATACCCGGGCACAAATATAAAACTGATATGTGTGCTGTTATAGGTACTACAATTATAAATTCTGAGTTCTGAGTTAAGAACTGACATTGCAGCACTTAGAACATTCCCAGAAACGCTTTGTCCTCATCTCTAGCAGCCCGCAAAAAGTTCCAGTTCCAGTGGTGCCAGTAGCAGTATGATTGTATGTCCATCTCGCCTTTCCTCTGAATTTTTCTGAATTATAACTTCTTTAGAGGTTGAAAGGGATATCTGAGATGTACCTTCTTGGCTTGCCATCCAAACTGAGATTTTTGTAATCTTAAGGTGGTCACACCGTCAAGTAGCAGCTTGAAGGGGACAATGGAGGGAAGGTAGATTAGACACATTCATGAATGTGCACGCAAAGAGGCAACAAGTGTGCATATTATTTGGCCGGCTCTGTGACTGCTACAAATGGTCATGAATACCATGTGTAGCACTTATGAGTACCATGTGTAGCACTTACTGCAAAGACAAATACCACAAAGGGTGTGACTCCATTTCCCTGTCTAGGCTGATGGATATGGAGGTGCAGCAGGAGTTGCAAGAAATGAACCTTTCATCGTGGGCACAAGATGTTTGATTAATCAACACAAAACAGGTGTTATCAGTCATTTTCTGCCTGTGGAACTATAGAAGAGATCGGAGCACCTACATATCTTTTCAGGGTTATAAAGTTAGTTGCCAATCCTTTACAGTATGTTGCAGAACCAACCCAGCAATTTTTTTGGGCTGTTTTGGTTTTTCTAGGCAAATTTACATCCAGTAGTTTGCCATTGCTTTCTGGACGGTTATCTTCTTGATACCACTGTCGAAACCAATGCAAGGCGCAGTGCCTGCAGCTGGGATCGAACCCGGCACTCCGGCATTATGAAGCACAACCCTAAGCCGCAGACGCTGAGATTTTCAGGGTACTCTGATGATTTTTCTAATTTTTCACAAATAAAAATTACTTTCAAAGGCTCACTAATTGTTATCTTTCAAATTTTCCGGTCACTGTTTGGGCTGGTTCTATGACTCATCTTTCACAGTCATTATTTATTCAGTACTGTGCATGTTTAAAAAAAAAAAGGGCTAAAATGTTACATAGAACCTGTTCTGCTGTATGGCAGCGAATCTTGGAATGCCACTTGAACACATTAGGAAGAATTTGGAAGCAACAGAGATGTGGTTTCTGAGACGAATGTTATGAATATGGACGACCAGAGTAACAAACAACAATTGTTTGAAAAAAGCTAATGAAAGTAGATCTCTATATACAACAATAAGAAAGAGACAAACACTGTTCTTTGGCCACATAATGAGAAGAGAGACACTGGAGAACATTGTGACAACTGGAAAGAACATTGAAAAAAAGGGGTAGAGGCAGACCAAGAGATGATGCTGGATGGGCTAAAGCAATGGCATGGAGGGATATCATAAAGAGAGCTGTTACAGGTCACCAGGGATCGTGATTTGTGGAGGGGCATGAGTGCCTACGCCAGTTGGCAGGGCACATGATGATGATGATTATGCATGTTAAATTCATGTAGCAGTAAAGATAATAATATGAACGTAAATAATGGATACCAGCCGATGTTCTGGGAAGTAAAGGCGGCCAGTGTGATGTTGACCACATCAGGCACATTTTTCCCATAAACAAATAAAGGGGGAATGAATAATCTGTTCTGAAGAAAAAATCCTATTCTTATTGGCATATTAAACATTGATGAGGTTGTACAAAATATTAAACACTTTAATACTAAAATTCAAAAGCAGTTAGATAAAATAAATAAAAATCTAGCCATACTTTACATTTCTGTGAAGAAGTGAGTGCCTACCAGGATGGTACCGTGAAGGGAAAAGGAGGAGATATTGTTTGTAAGGAGAGTCTCTTTCTAGTGAAGCTTCAAGGATATTACATTCTTGTTTGTGTTTTCCCTGTCTCCCCCCCCCCCCCCCCACCCCCTTTTTCCCCTGTCTCTGTTCCCTACATGGACCTGGTTGAGGCTCACCAGATTTGAGCTTTACTAAATATCTGTTGTATCTCAGAGATCGTATTCAAGCAAAATGTTTTATGTCTAATCAAGACATGAACCAGTTGGACTTATTAGAAAACAGATGTATACCGAGACAAGATACAAAACTGTATTAACAAAATGTATGGTTCCCAACCCCCCTAGTTGACCTAGCGTACAGTGGGTACTGGGAAATTACCTATCAAGTGTTGAATGGTCCATGTACCTGATGCGAGAGTAGCCTTGTATTTTTCTACTGCTTTCGCCCTTGAAATGACTGTTCACACTTTGAATTGTGGTTTACATCTAGGCTACAATATCTGTACCTTTTGGCCCAGCACGTTTCCGTTTCAACAAACTCCTTATTAATCCCCTATTACAACATGCTGGTTAGGGAGGTGGTGAGTCCCCCCCCATCCCCACGCCAAAAGATGGGGCCCCAGAACCCACAGAGTGAAAAGTGAGTACTGGTGGCTGAGAAAGATTCTTCACTTACACAAACAGCTGTTACTGTGTAAGTACTGTTCATTATTTTGCTTGCATAACATTATCATTATGAATACATTTATGCACCTGTTGCATTGCAGGGGAGGTATAAAGTCTGTTGTCTTGTGATCCCCAATTGAACGAGACAGTATGAATTTAGATTCACAACTGCGTGAAAATGTTCAACGCTTGCTGAATTCAACTCAAAATGGCCACAGAGTGACTTCAGAACATTGTCAAGTAAGTTTGCAGCGGAAGAGTTTTTGTCGTATCTATATCCAGCGCCCAAAAGGTCAGCTGACAATGTCCTCCTCTAGCTTGAAATGTGCCAAGTTAAATTGTAATGTATCGTGTGTTTCACTTGTGACAGAACCAAGTATTTCTTTCACAACTGGGACACTAATAAAGATGTGGCAACAAAATTTGAAGTGGACTTAGCTCCATTCATAACAGGTGCTGACAATGGCCACCATTTGAAAGGGTCTTGTAATTTTTGTTTTCATCAGCATTCCTCTGAAATATTTTATCTTATTATAGTTCAGAAACCTGGACACTGAACTAGCAATTAAAAAGTCAAACTGAGCTTGACCAAATGCTGGAGACCCAGGTTAGAATTTTCTCGAAGTTTATGGCGTTTTCTAAAATAAAAAATCCTAACTTGCAGCCCAGGGTGATGGCACTAGCCATGTGGCTCTAAATTCTCAGGCTAAAAGATCCCACTGCCTAGACTACAGTGGTAAAATACAGACAGAAGTGAGTTTTTTCTGGAGCAGCTGTTTCATAAGGAAAAAGTCAGATACAAAGGTCCTAAAAAGACAAGGATGAAAAGAGAGTTGCTGAAATAAAAAAAAATATTTTGGACACATACAAAAAAAAAAAAAAAACACCTGTTATAAAAACTGTCCTGGAGAGAAAGGTATAAAGTAAATGAGCAAGAGGTATACAACCAAACAATAAGAGATGGACAACAATTACAGTGTACAGCTAAGAGAGAGGGTGTTGTAGATCCTTTTCTGCCAGCCTTTGTTGTGGAGATGACACATGATTAATTGTATTTATTGATCCAGATGTACTAGGTTTTTTTCTCCCTATTTGGCACAGTGTCATAAATCAATATTTGCATTCAGTAACCTGTCAGTATTTGCATGCAGTAACCACCTTTTACTTTGTTGCATATAAATTGGTTGATTAATCACACTTCAGTGGAAGCAGCACTTTTCAATTATCCACCATCTTTTTTTTTTTAGTAAAGTATACATCATCATAATTATCAGGTGCTCTGCTGAGTGCCGTGGGTAATCACGCTTCTGCACAACCTGAGATCTCCAACAGGATGTATCATTTCATGTGCTGAACCTCCCTCCCCCCTCATGGCATTACAAAAAGCTGTCAAGAACCTTGCCACATTGTCATCTGCTTTCTTTCTTTCCATAAATCTTCTAGTTGTCACATCATGTTCAAGTTTCATTCTTCTCATAACATGACCAGAAATTATGACTGTTTTTTCTGATGTTTATGATAAATTGTCTTCGACCCTCATTCTTTCAAAACATCTGGATAACTCATTTTTACTGTTTGGATTTCTCAGTTTGTATACTATTCAGAACCACTATCCCTAACTCACCACTTATCTCATCCTAGTTTTTTTCATTACCTTCACATTGGTGATTCTGTCATTTGACTTTAGCCTTTTCATTCTTGGCAGACACTTGTTAACTGATGCTTGTGAGATTTTAGAAATTCAAAGCATTGTTTTCCCAATTGTAAATTTGAATAGTGGTATTACAAACAATAGAATGCACCAGTTTATTGCCTGGAATATTTTACTGCATCTTGTCAGGTTTACACTACAAATTTAAATCAGCAATAAATCTGTTCAGCACAACACAGTGACAGTGAAACACAGGGCTCTGTGTTTTGTCTACACGGATGTGGTAACACATATTTTGATTCATAATACTGGATAGTTGGCCAAACAATGGTTTTGATAAGATTCACTTTAGTACTCCGTGGTATCTGCTTGTGTGTCAACAGGGGAGATAGTTGCCTCATTACTTGATTAGCTTTGGCACATCTCGAGCTAATTTCTCTGTCCAGTTTTTCCGTCGGATGTGAAAATAAAGCCAGTCTAACAGGTCATCAAAGAACAACAAATTAAGTGGTTTGGACACCTAACAAGAATGCCCTGGTACTATCTGCCACAGTCAGCCATGCTAAAACGTTACAACAGGTATAGAGCTAGTGGAAGACCTTGGAAAATATGGAGTGATGGAATTAAGAACAGCCTTACAGAAATGGACATCAGTCTTTATAGTGCTCTTGACAGAGCTCATCAACAAATGGTACATTTACCCCCGACACTTTGATGAGGTACAAGGTGAAAGAGAAGAAGAAGAAAGCTGGATAGTAGTAGTAGAGGTTTCAGATTCATTGCAAACGGGTCGTCCCATAATTACTCCGTTCCACTGCCAGGTTTCAACTGCTGTTCTATTTTAACTTGAGTTAGGCTCCATAGAGGGAAAGGGAAGAAGAGGCAGATCAAGAAAGACCTGGATGCAGAACTGGACATGAAGAAAACATGGTCCATTGCATTCAGATAACAGAGGTGGAGACCAAACAGTCGACAGCAACTGGTGACCCAATGACATATGATGGTGGTGGTGCTTTATTTAAGTCAGATTCACTTGATGAGAAACAGCAGCATATGTTAGGCAGTAAATTGTGCAACATACCATTTGTCATCTCATCTCAGCTTGTGTCTACAGTGAAGTTCATACTAGAGACAACATTGCAAATGTAGATAATTTATTTCAAGCAAACAAAAGAAGAAGAAGAAGAAGAAGCTTGTATCTCTTGTACCTTGCAGTGTTGAAGTGAAGTATAAACAGCAGCCTTTTCTGGCTAGTATTTATTTCCTGTGGTCACACACGTGTTAGAGATGCAACTGGCCAGACATGTGATTTCTCTTGGGGATACTTCATTTAAGTGATTTTGTGTATTCTTGCTCACATGTGTGGTATTGTAATGTTAAGGCTCTCTGGCCGCAATGTTCACCTGTCGTTTGTTTGTGACAGTGTGAAGCTGGCTGGTTTACTGTATGTTTAGTTTGATACCTTTTCATAATAATCAGCAGGAAAGTACATGTTTGTATGCTTGTTTAATAAGTGTCTTTACAGCCTGCGGTGCCACTTTTTAGTGCAGGTAAGGACAAGGAGGTCTTGAGCCTGAGGATTCAGGCCCATATGTCTAATGCAGTTACCACAAACTATAGAGGTTAGGATGTATATTTTTGCCGAAACCTCAGCTTGATGGCAAACACAATTCCAAACTTGGGTCTCCTGTGTGAGAGTCCAACATTTTAACCACGGCCAGCGGCTCCTCTTCTGACTGGTGGTTTCCATGGATTCTATTTCTCTGTCTCAATTGTTGGCTTCTCTTTCTATGTTATTGCTTTTTGGGGTATACTGTCTGTGGCAGCCAAGGTAGATGTCTCAAAGAAATATAACTGTCATTGCTCCCATTTCCTAACCTTCTGTCTCCTTGATATTTCTGAATTGATTTCATTCTGCTTCTTCAAGCAGTAGAAATAATCCCCTACCAACTTGCTTGGCTGTGGCCTTGCAGCCATGGTGTTCTGATCTACATCACTTGGAGGATGGGGTTGAATCTTCACTGTTAGTAATTTCATTGTTCAGAATATTGTTCTCCATGTTTCTGGTGATAGCTAAAATGCATATTTATAATCATTTGACTTTTTTTATTATTAAAAATAATCCACAGACCTCAGCAATGGAAGCTACAACTCAAACAGAGGAGTATCCGTACCTTACAAGACAGGTTTGGTTCCCGCCAGACTTAAATCCCGCAGAGAAAGGCATCTCTGCTCACCGTAACCTTTGTGCCAATGATATTTCAGATTCTGCCCAAATGCCTTCACAAGGCCAGGCAATTGCTTCTGTGCAGGATTTCACTCAGCCTGATCAAAACAGCAGCCAGAACGGATTTCATTTTCATTTGGGCAAGAACTATCGGAATGGTTTCAACTGTTGCCAAGAGCAGAATGTCAAGATTAGTTCAGTGAAAACAAACATTGTTCTGTCAAACTACCTCATAGCATTACGCCCCTGGTCATTTACTGTGTCCATCATTCCAATTGCATTAGGAAGCTGCCTAGCCTACAAGTTTCTCGGAGTCTTTGATGTCTACATTTTCTTCACCACCATTTTTACAGCAGTGTGTGTTCATGCTGCTGGAAATCTTGTCAATACGTACTTTGATTTCATGCGAGGCATTGACAACAAGAAAAGTGATGACCGGACGCTGGTAGACAATATATTGTCACCCAATGATGTTGTTACACTTGGGGCATTGTTCTACGTTTCCGGCTGTGTAGGATTTTTGCTGCTGAATTTTATTTCTTCTGCCAAAATGGAACATCTAGCTTTAGTCTATTTCTGTGGCTTGTCGAGCAGTTTTTTTTATACAGGCGGCTTAGGGTTAAAATACATAGGTCTGGGAGATATAATTATTGTGTTAACTTTTGGTCCAGTAGCTGTTGTTTTTTCACACCTGAGCCAGACTGGACAGCTGTCCTTTGTTCCTTTAATCTACGCCATACCTCTTGCCTTGAATACTGAAGCAATTCTCCACAGCAACAATTCTCGAGATATGGACAGTGACCGACAAGCTGGCATGTTGACTTTGGCAATACTCTTAGGAAAAACTGGCTCATATTGCTTGTTCTGTTTATTGCTGTTTGTTCCTTACCTGATCTTTTTGATTGTTGGCATCCATTATTCCGTGTGGATGTTGCTTCCTGCTGTGTCAATACTCCTGGCATTTCCTCTGGAAAAGAGCTTTAGAAGAGGTCATTTAGAAACGTTGCCACATGAAGTGGCTAGACTGAACTTAATCATGGGTGTTTTGTATATTATTGCTGTGTATCTTGCACATCCACAGTCTTTGCCTTCTTTAACTCCTTTAGCATCCTGATTGCTTGACCTGCATTTATTTATTTATGTAAGGTATTATACTGGTCTGTACAGTCTTCTACTTCTTCAGCATCTGGAGTCCTAGAGGTTCATTGCTGCAGATATGATGCACCCCTGTTTATCTCTGTGATTGCCCTTCTCTGTTTGGTGACTCCAAGTGTTTGTAGGTATGTCTGAACATTATGTTCACCTTCTTCTTGGTCTGCCTTGTCATCTGTTCCCCTTAAATGTCATTGTTGCTTCTCACTTTTTATTCTCTGCTGTTTGCCACAAAGTTTCATTGTGAGACTGGTCAGCATTTTTAATAAGCTTTTGTCTTTTAGTTAAACTCCAGGTTTCACAGCAATATAAAAAAAGTCTTAAGGTGTTTTATATATTGTGATCTTGGTGGTCTATGTAGTCAACGGAAAAAGAATAAAAATTTACAAGTGATAAAATTTTGGAAACTTTTATTTTCCTTTGGCCAGATCTTGTAGAATTTTACTTCTTGATAAATAAAAGCCAGGTTCTATCTTAGAGTAGCCACTGACAGAAACCACCATTTTTCATGAAGCACTGGATGCAGCTAAGCGTCTCAGGTTGATTAGAGGTAAGTCTTGGATGGTACAAGCAGAAGACACAATTAGAGATTGGTGAATGCTGGAAAAAAATTGGGAGAGGAGAGAAGTAGGCCAAAGTGTCGGAGCAAAAAAAAAAAAAAACTTGTTTATGGTTCTTATCACAATTGGCCGGGAGTGCAGCGAATCGCCAGCAGAATGTGAAATTCAGTAACTGATTTATGATAATTCCTGTCCAGGTGATGTGATTATCTATACAGATGGCTCTGTTTTGAGGAGCAGAAAAAGTGCATAATGGTTCATTGCGAAAGTGAATAGACGATACTTAGTGCAATTAAGTCTAGCATATGATAATACAATATCTAGTTTAAGAATGGAGGTGGAGGCAGTCACAGTGGCTTTTCTGCTGGCTTGAGAACCAGCTGTATACACATGTCATGTGATTGTAACCGACTCACAAAACATGATAAGAAAGCTGGAGACAGGCATGTTCCTTGCATGGTAGCAAGTTTCCCTTCAGAGGTTCCAGGTGGTTAGCATTCTTAGCATATTTTCTCCAGGGCGTACAAAAGTGTTAGGAAATTAACAGGCAAACAGACTGGCTGGTTCTGCACCAATGGATGGGGAATTTATGCAAGACAAGCTAGTTGACGGCTGGTTCTGCACCAGTGGATGGGGAATTTATGCAAGACAAGCTAGTTGACATCAAGGTCCTCTAGGAACAAGTCAATGAATCGATCATTACTTTCTGGAGAGAATTGTACAGCAAGAGTGACCAGGGTGTCTTGCCGACACTTTACAGTCAGAGGATAGGCAAGAGGGACATACCATCAGAATTGGACCTCTTTGCTGGCTGCTGAAGATGATGATAGAGTGCTTATGGAAATGTCCTGAGTGCTGCCATGTATTTTCTTCATTTAACAACAAAGTTCAAAACTCTATTAATTTTTCAGCAACAGTTAAGTTAAATAATTATAATTGTCTTCTTTAGTGAATTAGAAGAAATCCATGACTCACATTTGTATGTTAACACATGAATGATGCATGTTCCCAATATGTTCAATGTAGTTTTTTTCAGTGGTGCTATGCCACATGTGTCATTTATTAATATCCTTGTCACTGCATCAAAGTTCTTACCTAATTGTATTTCCAGGGCTGTTGTCATTTTGTAAAATGCCAAAGGCACACATGTGAATTCTCACTTCAAATAGGTCAAAGTGATTTATTATTTTTTATCCAGCTACACAATTTATCAGGCATAACATTCAGTTTTTTTGCTAAACAATGATTTAGCATTTTGTTATATTGAAAATGATATTATGATGAAGGTGTGTAGTCGGTTCTTTTGTAAAATCCTACCCCAGATGACGTCACAGGACAGTCCAACAATTTCAAGGGTGGTAAGACTGGGTTTCCCGGCTTTCTGATGCTTTTAATAATCCTGAAATATCTACAACTGGCCCTAACCCTAACCCACCTACATCCCATGAGAGAGGGCAGCCTGGGTCCCATAACTGCATGTAGCCTAGGTCCCACGACTGCATGCAGCCTATCTACCACCCCCTGAAATATTAGATTGTCCCGTGACCTGTAGATTTTCCCTATTTGGGGTAGGATAATAAGAAAGCACAGTGTAGCTTAGTGTGCTTGTTGCTGCACTGGCTGCTATAATAAATGTATATAGATAAGAGTGAAGTATGCATCTGACATAAATCAAGAACATTTACTAGACAGAAGTTGAGACCAGTAGAGATGTGAATAGGTTGTCATATTTCGTGAAAACAGTCAAATCAGAGGTTCTTGATGTCTAAGAATGACAACACAGTTGCTGATAGATATTTTTTTTTTAAAAAGCGGGTGAAATATTTTGGGCTTTTTAAAAAAACATAAAACTTATTTAAAAAAAAAAAAGTTGAAGGCAAGCGAGCAAGAAACAAAGGTTCTATATTTTTTACGTCCCCCAAACACGAAATTCCCGTGGGAATTCCACAGCTGACTTGACAGTCCATTATTTCAAGGGGTGCAAGTGTGCTGCTGTCTGCTGCTGTTTTTGAGTGTTCATTTAGTGTCTTATGGTGCGACATATTTCGGTCTGTTGATGCGCATTTGGCTGCTTGTTGATGCGCAATTGGCCGGTCTGCAATATAAGTCATGTTTTCATAACATAAGACTATTGACTATGACTATTGACATGTGAGTGCATAGCGTAGTTGGTATCACATCTGCCTTGTAAATGAAAGATGCCGTGTTCAATACCGACGTGATCCATTGTGAATTTCCTTTTTTTTTTTCAAATGAAATGTAAATTGTGCACAATTTAACTCAGCGTTGCTACATCCTTCGAAATTGTGCAAACTGAATCGTAAAAAGTTTAAGGATATAATGTCTACTATTATTCAGATATACTACATTGATAATTTTGAAACTTCTTCTTCTTCTTCTTCTTCTTCGCGTTCACCAGCTGAACACTCTGGCGTAAAGTTCTGGTTGCTCATCCACTTCTGGACTGCAGCCATGCTCCAGAACATGAGTGTTGCGTGTGCATCAGTTTCACAGATCTGATTCAATTGAATGCAGACTGATGGTTCCTCGCCTCTCAGGCAGATGCACTCCGACTTCAAAGGAAGTTCCCCAGTTAGTCGACTCTTACGACGTGCTTTTGGGGAGGCAGTGGGTCTATTCTTGTTTTCTCCACAATAGGGCCCCGGAACCCACACAGGGGAGGGAAAACGCGAGAATGCAGAAGTAGACAAGATTTTATCGACTTGTACCTTTTACAAAGTTTTATCTGAGTGTCAGGTATGCCTTACTAGTTTTGCTAACATTACCAGCAACAACATGTACTGTGGAGCGATCGTTCAGCACATTGCGTCGTCGTGTAAAAACATGGCTTAGATCTGCAATGTCAGGTAAACGTCTGTATGGATTGTGTATGTTAAGCAAATCCAGGCCGGCAACGAAACAAATAATGATTTAACCGTTGCTGGCGCTACGTCGTTCGTGGTTTGTGCGATTTATGAAAGTACTTACAACGAGCCTTGGTGATATCCCCGGGAACTGCCAATATTTTTTGTTCATACTTTACTTTTAGCATGTTGAAATGTTTATTCAAAGCGAAAGCCACATATGAAGGTGAGCAATTATTTTTTTTAAATCACATGAAAAAGAAACACAAAGTTAGCATTTAAACGTCGAAAAGACATATAAATGGAAGGAAAAAACATATGAAAAGAATCTAGAAAAGCATCTACCATTTAAACGTCAAAAAGACATTTAAATGGAAGGAAAAACATCTAAATGTGGATGTAAAATATCCTAAGTGGCAACACTGCACGTCATAGTAAAGAGCGCGCTTTTGCGATGTGAACAACTTGGATGTAGAGAAACCGCGAGAAACCACAACCTGAACACCCTAGAATTTATTGGGAATGTCTCCTGTGAGGACATTGTGACGTCAGGGGTACGCAAAAAATATTGTACCGAAACAAACATTGGAATGTGGAAGGATAACATCAAGAGATCAATGAACGGCAGTCTCATTGAGTATAGAAGTCAATGTCTTCTGCTGTCACCATTGTCAAGTATTTCAGCCATTGAGTTGGTTGTGAATCTTGCTGGTTATTCCATTCCATAGTCTTGTCCTCTGTTGTTCTCTTTAAATCTGTGCATGACTGAATTGATTGAGGCAATATCTTGTGTATTTGTGCCAAATAAAGAAACAGTAATACCTACAAAGTCTTGTTGTTACTTCTTACATGTTATCTGTATCAACATCCTATCACACTGGGCTGACCCATTAGTGCTCTGTCCTCCAATGCAGCACCCATCTGTGTCTCCATGCTCACCGTACCGAGTAGGAGTTGATTGGCATATCTACTTTCTTTGCCCCGCAACTTTTTTCTGCATGTTTGTCCTTGTTCAATGCCAATTTCAAACAGCAGGTTCATCGTTTTTGTCTCTGTTTTTCTCAGTGTCTGTGGAACACAGTGCATTCAGTATGTCTGTCCTGTCTATACTTCTTCGTCACTAACTACTGCAGACAGCCAGTCTGTGAGCTCTTTTATTTTCTCTCACCTTGGCATGTCCTGGTATGTATAGCCAAGATAGTTTCTTGAGACAGCAATAGTTCTTTCCATGAACAAATTAAGAGGTGAATAAAAAAGTAGGAGACCCAAAAGTGCCAATACACGTTGGAGCAGCAGCTGTTCTGCTGGAAAATGCTGTATAGCCACAATATCTTTTGTGTGTCTATTGGTTACTGTAAAGCTGACATACACAATGTTTTCCCTATCTTTTGACGGAGCAGTGGGAAAACTAAGTCTTAAAAATATCACACTCCACAAAAAGTAGAACTAAGAGCCATTCTAAGTATGACAAGAAACTAACCTCAGGAATAAATTCATTTTAGAAGATGTGTTTTAATAATAAGAATACAGGTTAAGAT